TGTGAAGAATTATGCCAGAATTTTGATGACAATTGCATTGAATCTGTAGATTGCTTGTGGTAAGATTTCCATTTTCACTGTGTTTATCCTATCTATTCAAGAGCATGGGAGATCCTTTCATTTTCTGGTATCTTCTTTATTTTCTGTCTTTAAAGATTTAAAGTTCTTGTTATACAGGTCTTTTACTTGTTTGGTTAGAGTTACCCCAAGGTATTTTACGTTGTCTGTGGCTATTTGAAGGGTGATGTTTCTCTGATTTCTTCCTCAGCCCTTTTATCATCTGTATATAGGAGGGGTATTTGTTTTTTGAGTTAATCTTTTATCCTGCCACATTGCTGAAAGTGTTTATCAGCTGTAGGAGTTCCCTGGTAGAATTTTTCAGGTCTTTTCCACTAGTTGAGTGCCTGGGACTGTCCAATGTACACTCTCCAATGCATCATAGTCAAACATGTGCTTATAATTAACTCTTCTATCATCTGTTTTTTTTGCCTAACTCTGAGGCCTGGGTCATATTCATCTTCATGCATCTACCGTATGGTAGAGTGTCTAACTAGGATATATTAGATGTGCAATAGCTGTATGTTGAATGTAAATGATTCATAATGAATACTGCCATCTCTTAGAAATTTCAACTCCATATCCCTAGAGTGCACTGTAAATATTAGCCATCTTAAAATTTGATATTCATTATTATTATTAAAAGAGCCATGCTTGAAGCAAGGATGAAAGAAAGAAAAATTTCCCCTTTGCTCTTAGCCAGTGAGGTTGCACCCTTGTCCTTCTAGAGTAAGCAAAAGTCAAACACATTATCATTAAAGCCTATTTAATTCTCTTGGTATTAAGGTTATTTGACTATAGTTATCTGCTTGTACTTCTAATAAAGAAGAGAAAACATACATGGACACCTGCCTTAATAAAGCCATGGTCCAAACAATTCTAAGCTCTTAATTCCTTCCATGATGATTGCGTCTTCAAGGGGTCTACAATGAAACAGACTTTATGCTGCTGGACAGCTTCTCTAGGAAATATCATGAAACTGAAGAATCCTGCAGCATTTTCAATGCACAGCATATCACTAAAATATAGTCTTAAGGTTGCAATTGATAGTGACTTTCTTGAAAATAATTTAAGGCTCTCTTTGTTTATTTGTAATGGAATTTTATATCTGTAACTTATTAAAGAAGAAAGGTATGTGCATTATGGACAGCAGGGGAAAAACTGACAAGTATCTCTTAGCTGAATCATATACCACATAATTAATGAGTAGGGCAGTCATGAAGAAGCAACAAAATATAAGGTGTCATTGGAATCAAAGAAATTTTTAACCAACAATCATTATCTTTTTTCTTTGTTTTTATTTAAATTAAAAACAACCTTATTTTACATACCAATCCCTGTTCCCTCTGCCTCCCATTCTCCCCACCAACACCCCCATCCCACCACCATTCACTCCTCAGGGAGGGTGTGGTCTCCCATGGGGAATCATGAAATTCTGTCACATCATTTGGAGCAGGACCTAGGACTTCCCCCTGTATCTGGGCTGAGAGAGTATCCCTCCATGGGGAATGGGCTCCAAAAGCCCATTCATACCCTAGGGATAAATACTGGTTCCACTGCTAGAGGTCCCCTAGACTGCCCAGACCCACCAACTGACACACACATTCAGAGGGTCTGGTTCTGTCTTCTGGTGGTTCCCCAGCTGTCAGACTTGAGGCCGTGAACTCCCACTTCTTCAGGTCAGCCGTTTCTGTGTGTTTTCCCATCATGATCTTCACTCTTTGCTCATCACCCCTCCCTCTCTACAACTGGATTCCAGGAGTTTGGCTCAGTGTATAGCTGTGAATCTCTGCTTCTGCTTCCATCAGCTACTGGATGAAGACTCTAGGATGGCATGTAAGGTGGTTATCAACCTCATTATAGGGGAAGGGCATTTAAGGTAGCCTCTCCACTATTGCTTAGATGCTTAGTTGGGATCATCCTTGTGTATCTCTGGAGATTTGCTAGTGTCAGATTTCACATTAAGCCCATAATGGCTCCCTCTATTTACATATCTCTTTCCTTATTCTCCTTCTCTGTTCTTCCCCCTACTTGACATTCCTGATCCCTCTTGTTTTTCCCCTCCCCCTTCCCCTTTCTCCTACCTCTGCCCCAGGTCCTCCCAATTTACTCAGGAGATTTTGTCCCTTTTGTCTCTCTGGGGGTTCATGTATGTCTTTCTTAGAGTCCTTCCTATTTTCTAGCTTCTCTGAGGTTATAGATTGTAGGCTAGTTATTCTTTGCTCTATGTCTAATTTTCACTTATGAGAGACTACATGCCATCTTTTTCTTTCTGTGTCTGGGTTTATAACTAACTTAGTGGACTTTTCTGTTAACTTGAATCAATGTTATTTTCTTTCTTTTACTGTGTTTGCTCACCTAGAAAGTGGAACCATTACAATATCCTCCAAGAAGAGCAAGATTTACAGATCCAAGACAACAATCCCAAACTCACCTAGAAAGGGGAAAGCTGGCACAGAAAATACTTTTCAGAATCACTGAGGTAAATGTCCAAATAGGAAACTGGGTATAAGGTTCTATGCCACCTATGAGAAAACTGCGTGGTGAATGGTTACTAGGAAGTAAATAACTCTTCTTGACTTTTCCTTCACTAATGAAACAGAGAGATTTGCAATGCATACAAAGCAGCTGAAATTTCTTAGCAAAAGCAAAGGCCTCAGTACTAGCTGTGATAGTGCATGTCTCCCACCCAAGAGCCTAAAAGAAGAAGACTGGAGACATTTTAAGTCAGCCTGGCCTACAAATTAAGTTACAATCTAACTAGCGATATATAAGAGAATGTTTTCCAAAAAGAAAAAAAACACCAAAAAACAAAACAAATGTCAAATGGGTCACATAAATAAATTAGCTCCTAGGGCTGGGAGGTTAAGAACATATTCTGTTCTTGCATAGGACCTGGATTCAGTTCCCAGCACCAATATCAATTAGCTCACAACCACCTGTAACTCCAGTTCCAGGGATGACAGTTTCTTCCAGCCTCTGTGGCCACCAGACACTTGCATGGTACACATACAAAAAATGCAGCCACTCACATACACATAAAATAAAAACACATTTTTTTAAAATTAGCCCACAGTTACATGAATTGTTGAAGAGGCACTGCATCATTTTCACCTGCAGATTTTGCTTCTACTCTACTCCACTCTCTCTTCAGGAATATTATTAATACACATTTCCCAACGTTGGTCACCTATAATGACTTGAAGTTAATGACACGACAATGCTGGATGCATGGGCACCTTATAAGTGAGGCAAGGGACTGTAAGGATGAATTCCGTGTGAACTAGCACATAGGTGATTTCCATTGTCAATGATTTTCAGCATCAGAAATAGGTCTGTTCACAAACTGATGGAAGAAAACCCAAAAGGGAAGGATGGAGTCATCTCTTTCCTGGTGAACAGACTCCCCAGTGAGCCAAAGAATCCGTTCACTGTGTGCATGGAACGATATTCCTCTGAATTCCCTGCAGCCCGAATGTCAGACTCTGAGAATGCCAGATTGTTTTTCTGGCAAGTGGCAAGCCCTGTGCTTAATCCCTAAAACACATACACCACACCACACCACACCTTGGGGTTTGTGATATGATTGAAAGCCCCTTAGTGCAGAACACTACACTGTAGAAGTGTTCAAGGGAATCTTTGATAAGAATTAGTTTCCAGAGCATCCCCAAGTAACCATGAAGACTAACATTATTTTTTGAGGCATGGTCTCTTGCTGAACCTGGAGCACTTTGATTGACTATGCAGGCTACTCAGTAAGCCCCTGAGATTCTCCTGTCTGCCTCCCATACATTCGTGGGGTCTAGACTGTACTCAGTTCCTCATGTTTGCACAACAAGGATCTGACCACTGAGCTCTCTTCCCTGCCCTGCTCATTATTTTTTAAATCAATAGTCTGGTTAGTGTTCTGGAACCTAGTTGGAGTAGCCAGTGACTTTGGAGGCTGTGATCCCTTGAACTGAAGAAGTCGTATTGATGTTTTCACAAGTACCTTGGAAATCACTTTGGCAACAGTAAAATAAATAGATAAATAAATATAAAAACAAACCCTTAAGATCACAAACCACAAGTGTAATTATATTTTAAATATTTTCACAATACATATTTTTTCTTCATTTAAAATTTTTTATTTCTAGGAGAACTTTAATTTTGTATTTTGATGAACATATATATATTCATACATATATGAGTGTGTGTGTTTGTGTGTGTGTGTGTGTGTGTGTGTGTGTGTATGTTTCGAGACAGGTTTGTTTCCTCTGTGTAACCACTCTGGCTGTCCAGGAACTCACTTTGCAGACCAGGCTGGCCTCTAACTCATAGAAATCTGCCTGCCTCTGCCTCACGAGTGCTGGAAAGAAAGGTGGGCAGCACCACCATCTAGCTAGTCTGTATACATTTTAAGTCAGCAATTCTAATATCTGGGATCCCTCTTCAGTAACCTTGCCAAGGCAGTCCTGGCACAACATGGGAGCAAAGACATCAAGCTGTATTGTTTTATAAGTTTGAACACAATGAATATTGTCCACAAGGAGAATAAAAGACCATTTTGAAAAATAATTTGTACTGTCAAGTGGAAGTGTGTCTTCTGTTTGGAAACAGGCCTGTGAATAGCAACTCTGACTTCACAGCGACCTATGGAAAGAAGTCTCGACTACCTGGTAATCTGTAGATAGCAGTCCTGACTTGGGGATTTCCTGGCATCTGTGGGATTCTGAGGTCTAATCTGTCTAGTAGGGGATTTGGTTTTCTTCTCCCAGCATTAGTCTTGTGATTTTGTTTTTCTTTAACACATCGGTATGTGCAGTCATTATGCACTATTTGTATGTGTTACATTCACATTTACTTGATACTTGTTTTAAATCATTAAAATTTTTTAACTTAAATATGTTTAAAAGAAATTTTTGTAGCACTACCATTAAAAAAAACTGTCACCTAAAATGATGGCATTTTGAATTTTTTTTAATTTACAAAAACCATACAATGGTATTAAGCTCTAGCTCTATGTAGTTTCTGCTGAAGACACTCATGAGCCTGAGGCTCATCTTCAGTTTCTTAAAAAAGGAAAATGAAAGTGTTAGCAAGCTCTTTGTTAACACCAACTGAGACTTTCTTCTTCATGTAATTAGAAAAGAGGACAGTTTTTAAACTGTAACATTTCTTGCCCATATTCTTTCTAGAATGATCTATGCGTCCTGGTATACATCCCTCACCCTGCCCAAGGTCTCTCTCAGTGTAAGTTTGCTTCCCCACAGAAATTCTGTTTGCAGATGCACAAGGAGAAAAGGGTCTGTTTCTTGTGTGGTGCTTCGGATTATAGCACATCTTGCAGCAGAGCTGCCTCCTTTTCATACTCCATGAGTAAGCTGCAGAGACCTGGAAAGGTGAGAAGGAAATTCAAGTAAGAGCAGGAGTGAGAATCCAAATGGTCAACCTGACTTGGATCCTAGAAAGACCTTTAAGAATCATGTTGGAAATAATATACTTACATGAGTTTAGAAAAAAAATCTTTCATCAAGGCTGAAGGCAAAAGCTGGACACACTTCTGACAAGGCCAAGATATTTTGAATTTCTAAAAAATAATCCAAATCTTGCTCAAGCATCTGTATTTCTTTGGTTCCACTAACAGTGGCCATGTACTCCGTGAAAATGGGTTTGTGAAAACGAGCATGGGGGGCCTTGAGCAATGATTCAGCAGTTAAGAGCACATACTGTTCTTGCAGAGGACCCAGGTTCCGTTCCCAGCACCGCCATCTGTAATTCCACCTCCAGGGGATCTGATGTCCTCTGACCCCGTCAGGAACCATGCATGCATATGGTAAACATACATATATGCAGGTGAAACACCCATACACATAAAAATAAATAACTTTTTAAAAAAATTTCTAAACACTGCACTTGAGGGCAGAATTCCAGGCCAGCCTGGTCTACAGGGCAAGTGTTAGGACAGGCTCCAAAGCTATACAGAGAAACCCTGTCTTGAAAAACCAAAATAATAATAATAATAATAATAATAATAATAATAATAATATGTAAAATAATTTAAAAACTGTAATGGAAAGCCTTTCCATAGTACCAGGCAGTTTTCTTATTCTTTGTTTTTGCTTTACTACAATTAGAAACATTGTATAAACTTTAGGTCAAAAGTTTCATTTACTTTCCCCTTTGTGCAGAGAAATCTTAGAATCTTTTCAAATTCCAACAGGCAGGAAAATGGGTAATTAAAGCTGACTTACTTAGAAAAGAGCAGAGGAGAATTAATGGGGAGTGTTCTCTATACTTCCTTTATAATTTATTAGTGTTTAAGTATGTGTATGATGCATGCATGTGTGGGGGGTGGCGATACACACACACATGGGCCCCAGGGAGCATGTGAGGTGTCTTGCTCTGTCATTCTCCACCTGAATGAACCTGAGGCTGGACTGGTGGCTAGCAGGCTCTAGTGATCCCCACCCTCCCACCATGCTGGAGATATAGACACACTCTGCATCTAGCTGTGTACATACATGGGTTATGGGGATTTGAGTTCAGGTCCTTGTGCTTAGGCAACAAACTCTTAAGCTCCACACTAGAACTCCAAGTAAATCTATCCATCCAACTAAGACTCAGAGCTCCAAGCAAATCTATCCATCTGACTAAGAGTCAGAACTTTCCAGGAGACAGAAGCTGGTGCTAAATGGTTTAGAGCCTCAGTTCTTTTTCTTTTCTTTTCTTTTCTTATTTCTTTTTTTTTTTGTTTTTTGGTTTTATGAGACAGGGTTTCTCTGTATTGTTTTGGAGGCTGTCGGTCCAGCCCAGCCTCGAACTCACAGAGATCAGCCTGCCTCTGCCTCCCGAGTGCTGGGATTAAAAGCATGCACTACCACCGCCCGGCTAGAGCCTCATTTCTGAGAAGGTGCTATCTCACTGTTACACAAATTCATCTCAAGGCATCCTGTGGCATTTTCTACTATAGAACTTTTATTTGAAGCTTCTGCTGCTCTCTCCTGCTTTAGTCTACTTAATTCCTTCATCATTTTATACTGAAAACAAAAAACAAATGTCAGGTCCAGGAGCCGCACTGTACCTGCAGGATCTGAGAGTGATGTAGGATCAGTATGATGTTTTGGAGTCCAGTGTCCTGCTTGTAAAGAAAAGGTGAGGACAGATGCATAGAGCTGCTTGATCTAGCACTCTGTCTACTTCTTAGAGTGTAATGCTGGAGTCTGAGAGGTAAAGGCAGTGTTTAATGATTTCACAGTAGCAAACTAGCCTGCCAAGGGTTTTGTTAGTGACTAGTCAGTGGTATCCCACACCTTCTATGAATTAGTAACAGACCCACAATTAGATGTATATTGTGTTTATAATCTGCTAGTTAGCTTATTGACTCTGCTGCTTATTCATGTTGATGAAACTACAAAATGACAGATATGGATCTAACTGTTAAGTAGTTGGTCTTCAAACACAGATGCATGAATACTTTATTGATTGCATTTCATTTTAATTGTAGTGTTGCTAAAATTCCAAAGAGATTAATAACTCTCTTTATTTGAAGACCCCAGAGAACAATAGCTTTGAAACATTTGTTAACAGAGAGTAAATGCAGACTACTACTCAACAATTATGTATACATATGTCTGTGAGTGATTAGATGAGTAATGGTCTTTGATTAAAATCAATAACTCACATCAGACTTCAAAAGGAGGCTATGATTGCACACACATACAAAAATATTTCCAACCTAGAAGACTGACTTACAAAAACCTTTAGTTTTTCATAACAGCTCTACACAACAGCCTAAAAGACTAGGTTTTTCAGATTATTGTCATTGCTCTTCATTGCTAACTAGGGATTGGTGGTAAAACTCTACTGCCTAAAATACATACTGGCTGTGAGAGATAGGGAAATCAAGCTGAAATTGACTTGAAAACTTCCTCTCTGTTGATTATCCTTTATACCAATGGAAAGTGCTATGCTGGCTACTGAAAGGTGTCATCAGTGGTCTTACCAAGCTATGGAATCTGCATGCTACAAAGCAACCTGAGAGATAAGATGTGTATGCTGGTGACTATTATGGATGTGACCAATTGCTTTCTTACTAGATTGGATACCCACTCCACAAGAAGGAATTCCATGCTCGAAACTGAACTAGGTTAAAAATTCATGGTTGTAGAGTATCAACTCTCAAAGGAAGCAGACATTATTTCCATTGTTTTTCTAAATGGAAACTGTCTTCTAAATATTTATATTTATACTCTTTAATTAGTGTTGTTCTTACCTTTGGTCAGAGAAGCATCAGTTTACAGTCATTGAGTTAAGGCAGAGGCTCACTGTTGATTAAACTGCTGAGAATAATTGACTGATGGATGCTCAACCATAAAAAGTGTGTGTGTGTGTGTGTGTGTGTGTGTGTGTGTGTGTGTGTGTGTGTTCTTTTCCAAGGCTCAGGAATAATTCCAGAAGAGAGACTGTAAGAGCTAGAGGATTGGAAAGAAAGCCTATACAATGCTGTCTTCTGGTAATAACATGCTAGTTCACTTATGAATTCACAGCATCTGTGGTTACCAGCGCAAGGTATGCACACAACTGGCTCAGTCAATGTTCCATCCAAGGGTGTTAAAAGTGCTCTTCCAAAGGAGCTGAGTTAGCACTCACACTGGGAGACTCATAACTGCTTATAATTCCATCCTTGGGGGATTCAATGCTTCTTCAGGCACCTGCACATGTAAGACATGGTCTCCTCTCTCTCTGTATGTGTGTGTGTGTGTGTGTGTGTGTGTATGTGTGTGTGTCTTTCTCTGTATCTCTCTTTCTCTAGCTCTCTTTGTCTCTCTAGCTCTCTCTGTCTCTCTCTCTCTCTGTCTCTCTCTCTCTCACACACACAGACACATATGGGCATTGGTGGCACACAACTTTAATCCCAGCACTCGGGAGACAGAGGCAAGCAGATCTCTGTGAGTTCGAGGCCAGCCTGGTCTACACAGCAAGTGCCAGGATAGGCTCCAAAGCTACACAGAGAAACCCTGTTTCAAAAAATATAAGGAAGAAAAAATAAAATTGTTATCATGGATGGCGGGGGGCTCACGAGGCCCCACCCCTCCCTGAGGAACTATTGACAGCTAATGATTGCTAAGCGAGGGAGAATAATTTTCTTCAGTGCTAGAGCCACGGATAAGCTGCCTGTGCTCTTGTGAATAACTCTCTACTCATCCTCTTGCCAGCAGCTCTAATTAAATTCAGCAAGTCATTAAAACACAAAAGCCATGGGAACAGAAAGGCCTTCTTCAGAAGAAGGGGTTCAGTGGTAGGGGAGAGAATTGAGAGAAGATATTGGGGGTGAATATGATCAAAAGAAATTATATACGTGAAGTTGTCAATAAAAATTAAAAATAGTTTTACAAGTCTGTTAGTGTACACATAATAGCTTTAAATTTCTGCCACTACATGACCATCTGCAAGGGATAAGTTTTGAATGTAATGTAATACTGTATCTTCCAAAAGTAGTCATCTGACTTTGGGAAATGCTTCAGGCAAGAGTAATTTTGGTCAGCTGATACTAGATTCTCTCATTTGAAATAAGCCACTGGTGAGCTTTCACAGAAGTCTGTGGCTCATCTTGTTGTTAAGGTTACAAGAAAATAATCCTTAGTTTGGTCACCATTCAGCAAATGGTGTTCCAAAGGTCAAATGTTATTCACTTCTTCAAAAAGCAAAAGAGAAGGTCTTCCACTGACAGTAGGAATCACGAGAAGGTGCTCCACTGACAGTAGAAATCATCAGGTCAAGGTCTTCCATGTTAGGGAGCACCAAAGCCCCTCCTACTCTGCTCTGACTCATGGTCGGTCCTGGATTATATCCCTTTCCTTGCCTGAGTTCTTCATTGAGAGGAGATGGCAAGCACCAAAAAATAGCACTGCCTGGTTTGAGTAACAAGTTGCTTTTGACTCCTCACTGCCCTTCCCCCCTTACCAGACATTGGACTTGGGCAAATTTTTAAACCTCTTTAAGTCTATTTTTTCTTCTGCATATTGGAAATATGCTGCAGGGACAGAATGAGATAATGTGAATAAAGCTGTTATTACTGCACCTGACGAACCATAAACACTCAAAAAAGTGTGCCTCCAATTTAATCTTGTCATTAGCAGAGCATAGAGATGACAGGTGAACTATGATTTATTGAGTTCCTGGTGCTCCTTGGGCAAAAAGAGGTTCTAGAAATTACTATCTATCTCTACATTCCTTTTCTTCATGATCACCCACACAAGTTTCTTTTCCATGCATCTGAAAGCTAATTGTCTAATATGCGTACCATCCCTTTCTTTCATCTCCCCTAGTTTTTCATAATTCCTTTAAAATATCACTTTAAGTAAAAAAGCAAATGAAGAAAAATAAAAATT